AAAAAAAAAAAAAAAAAAGATCAGGTCCTTCACCACTTTTGCTTTCAGCAGGTACCTGCTGAAGGCTGAAGCAGTGGGGCCTGATCCTTTTCTTCTGTGGAGCTTGCAAACCTCTCCTGTGCCCAGGGGTTGAGCTGACAGCTGCTATGTATCATTGCAAACTAAACTACATCTGGATGTAGTTTGGTTTGCAACAATGCAAACTCATCTAAAACCCACAAAACTGGCATATGTGTAATGTGTGACACCGTTAAGCCACACAAATGACATTTTCATCATGTGTACAAGTGTCCAGGGAGAGCAGCTCCCATGCTTCTGTCTGTTGCCACCCAGGGCTCAGAAATGCCCAGCTATGCCTCTGGCCTGAATAAAGTGCCACTTTCAGAGCAAAGCAGATGCATAAGATGATCAGGCCCCTATATCTCTCTTAGGCAACCCCCTGGGAGCAAAACAAGCCATTCCTCCTCATTGGGAGTATCTACATGTTCATTAATGTGCTGTAATTATGGTCTGTAATAACAGGTACTAACTTAATGTGCCATAAGTGGTGCTACCATGCAGTAGCATCAGCACATGGTTTTTTTGTGATGTTAATGCATAGCAGACTGGAAGGCCGTTTCAGGCTCAAATCCAGGAAAAACTCCTTCCCAGTCAGGGTGTCCAAACTGTGGAATAAACTCCCTCCAGTGGTCGTGCAATCACCTACCCCGTAAATCCTCACAAGGAGATGGGACAGTCACCTTGCTGGGGTCAACTGACCCCAGTTGTCTTTTCCTGACTAGTGCAGGGGGGCTGGAGCCGATGATCTACAAGGTCCCTTCCAGCCCCTAACAACCTATGAATCTATGAATCTGTGAACCTGAACATGTGACTGGGTTCTACTTAAGATGCGATTAACAGACAAATTGCTTTTGAAGTTTAATATCTTCCAAGTGTTCTGTTCTACAATTTCACTTTTAAGTTGTTTTTTAAAGTTTTGATGTTTAAGAACAGCAGTCTATTTGATAGACTGCTCTGTGCATGTCCTTTCACAGTATCTGATGAAATGAGTTTGGGCTCATGAAAGCTTATGCATCTCTGATTTAGTTAGGCTATATGGTGCATCTGTACTCTGCCTTCTTCCTGACTCCAGACTAAACATGGTTAACTATTTCCCTCTACAAGGATCACTTCCTGAAGCTAAGAAACCAGTCAGTGCTTGGCCAACTGAAAGACTGCCAACAAAGGTCCTAGTGAATGTTGAGCAGTGGCAGTTTTTATTATATCCACTGGGAAATGAATGAGAAGACAAACATTGTGCAAGATGCACAGCTTTCACTTCGTGGCTTAGTGAGCCTTTTACTTTATTTCATGCCCTGAGCATTGATGTTCATATGACCTTTTACTCAAAATTTAGCTTAGGTCCTCCTTAAAATTATCAGATTCTTTGCTGCTTTGCTTTGCTAAATTTATGCCTTAGGTAAAGGGGAATCTGAGCTGAGTTTTGGTACCTATCAAAACCTAAAAGCCTGACAAATTTCAGCTCCTTTGGCATTTGGTTACCAGAGGTTCACAAAACATTATAGCCAAGGCTGACTGAATAGCAGGCAAATGATAATGACATCCACTCAGTACTGACACAGACTGGATTGAAACCAGGAAACAAATTATGGAAAATGCTTATAAAACTGCTGCCTTCGCAGCACCTGCTTTTGTGAACTGGTTCTCCTGGAGAATGTGAGTTTTTTCACAGAATGGTATTTCAAAAAAACTTCACACAAATGTCTTGAATACTAGTGATTTGAGAGAAAACCACTGAGCTTTCAATGGCCAAACCCTGCACATGTCACTCTGTGAAAGGAGTATAGAAAATGAAATGTGGTATTCACTCTCTAACATCAGAAGTTCTTCTTCAGACAGTTAAAGTGGCTTCCAAAGCAGTGCGTCAAAAACACTGAACTGAAATCAAACTGTCCACTTTGCCTATCAGATCTCTCTAAATCCGTTTAATCTCTCCATTTCCTTACTCAGCTCCATAGCCATCACAGTGATATTGTGCCAAGAAATGTCTTCCCGGTCAAGAGGTCTTGCAGTCATCAGTGCTCCTGTTGTAATGTCGACATAAAAAAACCTTCCAGGATCACTGCTTCTATCAATTGAGTATCTGCAAAAGTACATATTAAAAACATTATTCAAACTTTGTACAAACACTATGTTATAGTTAACAAAGTAACTTGCCAACTACAGGAGGGAGACTGTCACATAGAGTATATTTGTATTCATCTAGAACCCATTCATGCTCCAACTGACTTCTATAGTAACAGTAGAACCTGGATCATTCATATTTGGGGAGTTCGCAACCTACTTACAGCATTTACCCAAATCCAAGATGCTTCTGAATATAAGACAAGCCCCCCAATAATTAGAGTATACATTTGTTATAATTTTCAGAATCTAGAGAATCTAATTATTGGAGCATTGTCTTAAATTTGTTTCCTGTCCCTGCTACAGTGGAGAAAGCAGTGCCAGGGGGCAGAAGGGAAGCAGAAAGTGGGGCAGGCAGTAAGGGGGCAGATGGTAGGGGGCAGGCAGTGGAGCTGGACCCATGAAAATTGTCCTCCACACCTTGTCCCCTGCTGCCTATCTTGCCCCCTACCCCACATACATGCCTCTCTCTGTAGCTTTGGGTCCCCATTTTCCCAGTCTCCCCTGACTGCAGCCTCTACTCTCCTCTCTGCCCCCGCAGCTTTGGGTCCCCTGTCTCCCCCTACCCTGCAGCCTCTGCCTCCTGTCTGTGCCTTCCCAGCCTGTCACTGTTCACCTGTGGTTCACAATGGCTCCTTCAGGCTTCATCCCCACCACAGCCTGGGACATGGAGCATGTGTTTGGTTCTTCCTCCACCTGGTCTTGTAGTAGTCGTGGCAGCAGGAGCTTGGGCCAGGCCCAGAGCCATTGCTGCTACGGGGCTGGAGTAAATACATCCTCTGTGCTCTTCCTTTGTGCAGCAGGGATGGAGCCTGATGGAGCCATTGTAAAGCAAAGGTAAGTAGCAGGGGCAGGGGGGCAGGAGCAGGTCAGACAGGGGGAAGAGGCTGCAGGGTT